TGTTTGAAGTTAGCATTTTTGTGTCAACAGTCATGGTGCTATTAGTTGTGTATGAGAGTTGCAGGACAAAAAGATGAAATGTATTTCTTTTATCAAAATAACTTAATTAGAGCAAATGGAATTCAAAGTTCACCCATATATTCTTCCGTTAGCAGTACCGATGTTTCGCCGGGTCTACCGCTGTATGTATCACAAAAATACCCACTGAATATGTTGATACATATTCTTTCAGCCTCGATGTGAAAGAAAATAGATCATATGATTTGTATTTGTCCCATACCAAAGCCAGGCAGTGTGATATCAACACGCATTAATTGGGTCGAGAAGTTCTGTTTGAGTAGTATACTTTATCTGTATTTGAGGGGAGATTACAGTAAATTTAGGCTTAATCCGAGACACATCAACATCAGTAAGATAGGTATTCACTTTTAGTGGTATTAACATGTGAAATAAACACCTATTTCATCATAAAAAAACGGTAAAACCCGGTTTTTGGAGCAGTAGTGGTTGTTTGATGGTAATATTGCTGCGTCAGTAGCTATAGCGCTATAATTTGTGCGTTAGAGATCTGATTGTGCCCCGTTAACACAGGATGACAAACTCTACTGCGATGTACAGGGTGTAATCAAGAAATTTTGGTAACTCTCACCAGTTTCACTCGGTACTGTTTAAATATTAATTCCCTTTGTAATAAATAAAAAAATGATAGCTTTAACATTTTATTTGGTTTGCATTATATACAAGTAAATATCATAATTCAGAATCATTTTGAATTTTTTTTTATCCTTCTGGGAAACAACCATGTCTTTTACGACAGCTTTATCTGCTAGGGTGGATGTACTTTTAGGTTTGTATCATTAGGTGAATAAAAATTACTGTCCCTACATCTCCTCCTAGACAAAGACCATTGTCGTCATCTTATGGGAGTAGTGATATCTATGCTTTCCCGGCGCTTGCTGGCTTCCATGAAAAGTTTGACAAGATTTCTGCTATCTGTTAAATTTTCAGTTCCAAGTAATTGTATAAGTTTGAATACCAATTCTGCCAGTAAAACTTAGAATATGTTTTCCCTTAGATCACTGTAACGTGGGTAAATACAGACAAAATGAAATTCATCCTCTATGAATTTTTAGTCGGATAGCATACTTTTTCGTCTTCTTTTGGCACGTTGCATTATTTCCTGTTTTCAATCATGAGTTTATGGTCTGATATTCTAAATTTACATATCATTTGTCTTGTTTTAAAGACATATTTTTTCTCAGGTAGTATTGCAGGTCAAGGCTGTCCGTCAAGTGTCTGAATAATAAAAACTCATATGGTTCTTGGATTTTTACACGAATTTCCTAAATTAAATTATCATTTTAACGTGCTTCATATATTTTAGATAATATGCTACATCCAATGTTTTGATGCTCCCAGACATGAGATAGTCTAAGACACGTTTACATGTCTTTCACCTTTCTGGCCCAATTATTAATCCCCTTGCATGAAAGCAGTTGATGGCCATAGATCTGATTTAATATATGGGATATATATATATATATATATATATATATATATATATATATATATATATATATATATATATATATATATATATATATATAAGGAATTTCAGAAGATATATTTTCAATTCTGATGCAACAACAGATAAGTAAATTCAATTTAATATATGAGATAAAGAGTCAAGAGCTTAATTATATCAGCGTTCTGCAAAGTCCAAGTAGAGTTACTTTATCATTATTTGAATTGAGTTGATCATTTACCTTATCATTTGTCTTATCAATGACTACGTGTGTAATGTTGCACAGCGGTCAAACGAATGACATTTTTGTCCAAGGTTCATGTGCTTCTCCTCTTAACTACAAACCTGTTTATATCAAATTCAAACATGGACACCTAAAAGAAGGCAAACTGCTTGCTGTGTATCAAATCGGTCAGTTTAAAGATTTTTCTCATTCTATAGGATAACTGCATACATTTCGTTCTTATGTTTACGCTTAGTGACAGTTACCGTACATGTATACATATAGATCGGGCCGCCTCTCCCTCCCACCCATAAAAAGAAAGAAAGTAACGTTACTTATTTACAAGTCCAATAGCGTCAGCAGTTTTAAAGAGATTGCAATGCAATAAAGGATATAGCGGGGAAAATGGTGCTTTTTATAATATTTAAATACACTGATTGCCAGATATTTTCAATGTAGGCCTACATGTAGGAAAAATGTTGATTTTTAAAACAGGTTTTTTAAAATAAATTCTGGAAATTAGAACATTGTTATTGAGTGGAAGAAACAAAACGCGAAAGCTCCACCTTCTATAGCCCTAGATCTATAAGATATAGGTATGAAAAAAAAAATTGTTATGAGATTCGTATTTGTATTTGAAAGTTTGGTAATTTTTGACTATTGAAAAGATCGAGTCAATTAAAAGGTTTACATTTCCAAAGTGTATATATTAAAAAAAATGTAGTGTATCAGTGTGTTATGAAGGGTTTTCTGTGGCTTTTATTTACGTAAAATTCATTTTAATAAGGATTAAAATGGAAAAGACCCATAATTAATAGATTTATGAATGATATTGATAACAATTGGAAAAATTAAAGTTTGTATCTTAAAATAAACCTAAGAATATAACCAGTGAACATTGGCCCTTTTTCTTTTGTGGTCCTGCCTAGCTAAATATTATTATTAAAATATCGGCAAAATGCCTGACATATATGATGACTTGAAAACTGCGCTGCACTCCAACGAGATGGATGCGACTAATTGCTCATTCAATTTGGTAGTTGTGACCGCCACCTTTATTTCGTATTTCAATTTATCAAACCCTTGACTATCAGGGATCTTCTCTTGAAGTATTATTATTTCAAAACATTTACACATCACGGTCTCCTCTGAATTCACAGCAGCGAGGCGGCCCGGCTCGTTAAAATTCTCAAGAGACTCGCTTAAATTTGTAAAAATTAAATAAATAAATAAATAAATAAATAAAACCCTCGCTGAGATAAATTACTACTAACAGTATTTTTTTATTTAGGTTAACTGAAAATTATTCAGATGATGAAGTAGCCATTAATTTCCTACGGATCATGTAGAAAGGTGATGAATAAGACAATATATAGAAAAATTGGTCCTTTATAACTGACCAATATGTGAAGAGATAATACAGTTTGAATTCGAGTTGCTTTGTGTTCTGACCACCAATATCTGGCATATATATGCATATTTGTAATGTTCAGATTTTTCATGTTTTTAAAAAGGCAAGTCGGTGTTAATTAAATTAAGACTAGCCATATTATTATGGAAGTGTACATGATGCATTGTGTGGTCATTTTAAGGTATTTTTTTTTATCAAATTCCAATCTGATTTCTTTATTTTTACTGATAAATTATTTGTATTATGGTTTTCAGAGATCGTTTCATCTTCACCACCCTCCTGCAGATGGTGAAGAATAACATTATTGTTCTTACAAGGTTAGAGCAAAAATTGAAACAGAACAGAAGTCCTGATGACAATACTGTCTCAACTGACGAGTTTGCATTTCCTATGGAGACTAGAGAAGATGTGGCAAGGGTTGAAAACATACTTAAAGATAAGCATAAAATGAAATTAGGCCCTACTGGTAAGTTTAAAAAATAATAGTATGATTAAAATTAATGTAGTGATTGTTGTGCCGAAGCTACATATGGAATAAATAATTAAGTTTATTTTTAAAATAGTAGTTATTTGATAAATGATTAATATAACATTTTAATCTGAACACTTATCATTTGTTGTATGTATATATATAAATGTGCTTTACTAATTAAGAATATTTATATTTATTTCAGTAGTCAAACCACCTTGCCACACTGGGAGGGTTTTCCTCCAAGGAAATGGTACAGTGTAGATAGGATCATGTCTACTATTTTTAAAACTAACATATTGCATGCCAGTGTAACTGGATTGGGAAGTGCGGAAAGGTTGCACTAAAAAACCTGGCCCTTACAAAAGCAATGGAATGTTTGCATTTCGTAATGATCAAATAATGTTTGCTCAGATATATTTTTACATATTAATTGTATTATTATGATCCTGAAGTAAAGTTACAGTTCAAAATATAAAGGTTGTTTCTTCTGAACAACTTTGTCTTTTTATGCTTTTTACATATATTCTCTTAAGGATAAACGCATATCAACCTATTTCTGTCCTTTGATGAGACCATTCCGTTCTGTAACTCCTGTTTGAACCATTTTTGTTTACTGTCCAATTTAGTACTGTTAAGATAGGAGGATTAAGTTAAGTTTTTATATTTTCACAGATGCAGGTAGATCGAGAGCTACCGAGGCTGAATAAGACACATGCATCAAATTGTGGCTCAAAAATGCACATGATAGGGATGGCGGCAGAAAAATTGAGGAAAATCAAAAAAGGAGGTAAATAAACACACTGGACAAAAGAAGTGTCACCCCCTGCAGAGTAATGAAAGTTATAATGCCTGGGTCTACTCTTAATACGACTAATGAGTATAAAACCGCTGTACTATGGAATTGTATTCTTTTTTTTTTTTTTTTTGTGAAATTTGATGTTTATAAAATGATACCAGGAGCATATCATTCCAGAGTCATTTATCTCCCCCAAATATTGGTTCACTTCTATTGTCCAGTGTGTGTAACAAAATAAAATAAAATTAAATAAAAAAACACACTGTTAAAGGTGATAACTGTGAAGAGAAATATTAGTTTTACGCATATCTATTTTATCTGATATTAAATAATCATTTTCCAGTTACATTTGTACGATATTTCTTTTGCGCGTCTATTCTAGAAGTCGGCACGACGTCACAAGATGGCCGACCCTTGACAACCACATTTGTTTGGGGGACGATTTGATGCGACTTCCGGTTTTACCCCATAGTTTGTAATGGACGGACGATAAAAATTGCTCCTCAAAAAAGCGTGGTTTGCTATATTTGACCAACCTTTTACACCAAAGCAGTGTAACAGTATTGGGAGGGACTATCCCTAAAAGCACAGAAGAGATATAAAGAGACACTTGAGCTTAGCATTTTGGAGATTTGTCCGTACAAATTTCCCGCAGATGCGTGGGTGAACGATCGCATGTGGGGTACCTTATTATAAATCATTATAAATGACCTCTTTATCATAAACCCTCCAGAAAGTGGGTACTGTGGGCTCTCATCTTGCTACAGAGATTCCCATATTTTGTCTAAGGTTGTTAAATTCTGCACATGAAATATAATGATATAAAAACAGGTAACACCAACAGAACATATATTTAGATATTTTACTGAACTATATACAATTTATGTGGTGCAATAAAGGTCCATTAAGAGCTACAATTAAACTGTCTCACTTTTTCAGTGTTGTTGAGCTTTTTTATGTACTAAGTGTTACTTTATCAATTAAAATGTCAATCAGAAAAATCATAAACTTCAAATAAAGGTGGGCAGACACAAGGACTCGTTATAACTGATCTCTAAAAGATTACCAGGCTTGAAACATGAAGTGTAAGATTTGTAGGCCTACTTATAAGCCTAAGGTATGAAATATTATTTAATGTTGCATTTGTATTTATATACACATTATAAATTTCAAATGTGTGAACATACAATGAATGCCTCAAGGGAATAAAAACCATACGATCCACTGATTGAATTAATTATATGATGATTTAAAAGTATTATTTGGTCCATTACACATTCTTCCTTTTCTCACCATATATATATATCTATATATAAATCTCAATTTTTAAGGCTGATANCATGACAATAGACCTAACGGTTTTCCTTAAAATGTGTTTACAATGTTGCATATATGCTGAAAAGTGAAAAAACAGCATAACTTCTACAGTAATGGCCCGATCATGCTGATTTTCGAACTTGACCTGCGTTTTATGAATATTCATCAGCTCTGTAAATATAAAGCCAAAAAGTAAAACTGCCTTCCACTTATCGTGTTTACAAGGAAAGTGCACGGCGACGGCATCGGCATCGGCATCGCCATCGGCGACGACAGACGCAGGTGATGGCAATATGTACAGACACATCTGTGTCTGTACATAAAAACTGAGCACTGTTTGTTGTTAAAAGTAGACACATTAGCACAAAAGCATATTATGTAGTTTTAACTAACCTCATGTAAGCAAGCTTCAACTGTATCCACCTTGTGAATCTGTATTCTAGCTGCCATGGTTTCTGATTGGCTAAAAATTAAATTTAAAGCATTTTAAAACCATGATAAGCTAAAAATCAAATATAAAGATAAATATAAAGAGTCTTCTATTTTTTGGAAAATCACACAAAAATTACAATTAATCCCTTATTCAATTAATTTAATGAATGTTAAGGGCCATTCCCAGACCCTATCGTACTAACTGTGGATCGATCCATCTCCAAGGATATTCTTGCTAAATTGCAATCAACTTAAGCGGCTTAGATGTCTGTCACACCTACTGAAGCTGTAAGGGGGTAATTAATCATCGTTCAGCAGCTTCAGTAGGCATGCCAGACATCTAAGCCGCTTAAGCTGAAAGCAATTTAGCGAGAAACCCAATGACGATGCATAGATCTTGTAAGATTGATTTAGGTATGGGAAACCAGTAAGATTGATTTAGGTATAGGAAACCAGTCTTACTTAATATCAGCCAAAAGATCTGTTTTTGATTTTTTGACTCCATCAGGGTTTTCTGTTTCTATTTCCAGTCTTTCTAAAGTCCTCTTTCCCTTTTGCAGTAATTCTTGTGCTCTGAAAAGATAAACAGGTTGGAAATAAAATATGACATTTTCAACAGAGGCAGCAAGAGAGAATATCAAAATGGAATATCCCCCTCCATTTTCCTGTTTTAAACCAAATCAGGTAACTTAAAAAAATTTTATACAAACCAAAATGAGGTAGCCCCATGAAAGGAGAAAATGTCTTATCACTGGTCCTTTAGTTTGTTAACATGATAATATGTACAAGATGCTATAACAATAAGTTGGCATTATTTTATATTTTATAGTATTTAATTACTAAATAAATAAACCCATTTCCTTTGCTCTGCACTGAAACCTTGAAAGTTGGAGAATTCATTTATCTGTTCATATATCTGAAACTAGATCTCACCCAGCCCCTTGCAGATTCGGGTATTAAAATGACTCCACTTTTTGGTTAGTTATTTCTTTCACTTTTGTTTTACTTTAGCTTGAATATTTTCATTCAGTTTAGACCAAGAGTCGAAGAGATAATGAATATGGTTTGTAATTGATACTTACTTCTTTTTTTGGTCTTTGTCAGCTTCTTTTGGTCCACTGTTATTCGGATTTGCTTTTTCATCTTCAGACGCCTTTGACTGACGACCGCTTTCCTCGAAAACACTAAACAAATCATCTCCAAAATCCATGACTTTACGCAGTAGTCTGCACTGCACATGGGGAATAGCTACGCAGTGAACCATTCTAGAAGTCGGCACGACGTCACAAGATGGCCGACCCTTGACAACCACATTTGTTTGGGGGACGATTTGATGCGACTTCCGGTTTTACCCCATAGTTTGTAATGGACGGACGATAAAAATTGCTCCTCAAAAAAGCGTGGTTTGCTATATTTAAACATCCTTTTACACCAAAGCAGTGTAACAGTATTGGGAGGGACTATCCCTAAAAGCACAGAAGAGATATAAAGAGACACTTGAGCTTAGCATTTTGGAGATTTGTCCGTACAAATTTCCCGCAGATGCGTGGGTGAACGATCGCAAGGACAGCGAAAGGAATGACCAGAGCATGTGGGGTACCTTATTATAAATCATTATAAATGACCTCTTTATCATAAACCCTCCAGAAAGTGGGTACTGTGGGCTCTCATCTTGCTAAAGAGATTCCCATATTTTGTCTAAGGTTGTTAAATTCTGCACATGAAATATAATGATATAAAAACAGGTAACACCAACAGAACATATATTTAGATATTTTACTGAACTATATACAATTTATGTGGTGCAATAAAGGTTCATTAAGAGCTACAATTAAACTGTCTCACTTTTTCAGTGTTGTTGAGCTTTTTTATGTACTAAGTGTTACTTTATCAATTAAAATGTCAATCAGAAAAATCATAAACTTCAAATAAAGGTGGGCAGACACAAGGACTCGTTATAACTGATCTCTAAAAGATTACCAGGCTTGAAACATGAAGTGTAAGATTTGTAGGCCTACTTATAAGCCTAAGGTATGAAATATTATTTAATGTTGCATTTGTATTTATATACACATTATAAATTTCAAATGTGTGAACATACAATGAATGCCTCAAGGGAATAAAAACCATACGATCCACTGATTGAATTAATTATATGATGATTTAAAAGTATTATTTGGTCCATTACACATTCTTCCTTTTCTCACCATATATATATATCTATATATAAATCTCAATTTTTAAGGCTGATATAGATCACCATGCAAAAAGTAAATTATGCAAAGTGCTTAACAGTGCCAACAAGGATAATATACCTTCCCTTTCAAATTTTATTATAAAATAAATTTTTAAAAAGTTAAGTAATATCTCTACTTGGAAATTTCTATTATATTCCTTGTTGAAAAATATTAATGTATGAACAGTGACTCAGCAGTGGGAAGTGACACGTTTTATATCTGAATAACTGTGTTATTTATTTATTTATTTATTTATTTATTTATTTATTTATTTGTGTAATTGTAGCTCTTCCTCCCTTCCTTGTAAATCTGAATCACTCCATATTATATTACACGTTATTGTGACCACATGCTTCATGATTTTGTGTTTATGATAAATTTATAAACACCAATAAGTTAAATTTCACTGCTTAGCTTGAATATTTCATTATTTCACTTTTAAGTTCACACTTGTCGTGTGCATCATGTAAATTAAAGATATATTTTTTCAGTCACAAACTGGCCACGCAAATACCATTTACAGAGTGGTAATGCACTAATTGTATTGCTGTCATTGTACAAGGCCATGATAATTTATATACTAGTACAGAAATAAATTGAACTGAATTGGTAAAAAAGACTCTCCTCTCTAAAAACTCATTATAACTACCCATGACCACAGTTTAACTTGTTTGAGGATAAAATTGAGGAAAGAGAAACCTTAGCTAATAATATGTTGCAGAATAGGTAGAAAAACTACATGTGTACCAGTGTATAGCAGTGTGACTTTAAAATGAATTATTGAAATTATTCAACTAGTGGTAATATACCAGTATTTAAGATAACACAAAATAATTTTAAACTCCTTTGTCTAATTCTACATGGGGATCTATAAGAGCAAAATATCCCACTTATTTTAAAACCATTCATTTACCCAATGTCTGCTTACAGAAGAACAGAGTACAAGCTGATTCACTATAGTGAACAGATAATAAATATTGGTAATTACATTGTTATTCATAACACTGGCATCAAATACTTTGAACTGCAATATATGTTACCTAAACAAGATTTAATTGTTACCTGCACTGACTGCATGAATCCCCCATGACCAACCCAGGTATATAATTATATATGACCCTTGCATCATCACTGTTAGTATCAGCTAGTATGCAATGCAATTAACAGGTGAAAAGAGTAAGGGCCTTATTTGATTGTCAAGTGAATAGGTAGGCAACAGGGGTAATTACTTCATTCATTACACTGGCCTCAAATACTATAAATGATTATGTTGCCTTTAACATGAATTCATTGTGAAAATGCATTTAATTGTGTTTGCCAGAGACAACTTGTAGTTGGCTCTTTGATACCAGTATGCATGTATATACATGTATATACTGTATACAGGTTGCAGAATAACGGATCCTGTATACTAGTACGTGGGTTCCCTGCATAGATTTAGGGTAAACTCAAGTGTGGCTAAATAAAAAAAAACATAGTCCTCGTTTGTTCAAATAGCAAATATACACCATGTCCTCTACTTCGTTAAAGCCAAGATCGACTACAGAATACCATTTTCATTACTACGCACTATGTACTACCCTTTGCCTTAGTTACCATATGTTTCCCCGATTTTCACAATAAAAACTCTACACTCGTTTATGACAGTCATTCATCTTTGTAGTGAAATACCACAAAAATGTAAGTAGCAAGTTGTCTCATCAATCAAATGTGCCTTAATATAATATATTTTGAACTTAAAATGCGATCGGCTACATCGACGCGTAACCTGACGAATCCCCCAAACAGGAACAAGTGCTCCGCAGCAAACGCGGCCATGACAGTATCCGACTTCTAGAATAGTTTTGCTCAGTGGTGGGTGGAAGGGTATCACGTGATTTTCGGGAGCCAATGAAAAAAGCAGGAATTTTACACTCCGTTATAGGTAAACAAAATGGCACGTTCGACGCACCGGGGAGGATCGTTTATTTAGGAGGAATGCACATAAATTTGGTGGGTATTTTAAAAGCATTTTACTATTTACAACGATCAGTACCATCTCAACTTAACTCATGTGAAGTGATTTTCAAGTGTTTGGTCTGTTTATGTTTTTATGACAATTTAAATTAGGCATAGCTTCATATGTAGTTTGACAATTGTAAACTGAAGTTTTCACACCACAAGCCTTCTTTCAAGTGAAATATCTCGAAAAGCACTCGGACGATTTTTTTCCAACTTTTCAGTAATGTTGCTCATTTATTTGTTGACAAAAAGTGCCGATGGCACCCGATGGGACCCCTGGATCTTTAGAGATATAGACGGTATAATCCTTCATACCCAATTACGACCATTTTTGTAGGAATGCGTCTTTATAATGTTAAACTCCCTCATTAAAAAGCATATATCTGAAAAAGTAAACGGTAGATTTTTTCCAAATCTTAATCTGACGTTTTTCGTGTACCTTTTTACATAATATGTAGCCTGCAACTGACAGCACCCCTGGGTCTTGGGATATATAGACAATGCAGTGCCATGGCAAATTACGGCCATTTTTGTTTGAGTGAAATTTGGATCACGCAGACCCCGTCTTTCAAATCAAATATCTGAAAAAGCAATCGGACAATTATTTTCAAAATTGTCAGAAATGTTGCTTAGATATTGGTTAGCAAAAAGAGCCTATGGCACCCAATGGCACCCCAGGATCTTGAGAATTATAGGCTGTATATAGTGCATGCCAAAGTACTGTTTTGGTTATCCCAC